CTAGGTCTACAGGGTGGATACCAAGGAAATAGCAGGAGCTCAGTCCCACAAGTGACACCTGGCCACCAGTAGGCATCATGGACACTGTCCAGGCCCACAACATACTAGAACTTTGTGTGATATCCTATCCCCAAACTGTTAGAAGTGCTGGTCATATATTTGCCATTCCAGCATTTTTGTTATGTTTTATTCTTAGTAATTCTTTACTATCATGAAAACTTTTTCTTAGTTAATATTTTTTTATATATTACCTTATTCAAATACTGTGTGAGCACTCTGAATTGATCACAGATTTGCAAATATGATACATTATATTCTGGCCTCTTAGTTGGACTCACAATTTAATTTTAATTTTTGAATATTGTTTTGAAATAATTCATTTAATTTTCAATTAATATTTCATTAATTTTCTGAATATCATTTAATTTTTTGTTTTATGTTTTATACTGTATCTTTGACTTATAATCACCTTACAAGGCATGGTATGATATTTTCTCCTAGTACTACAAATTTTTTTTTTTTTTTTTGCGGAACTGGGAATTGAACTCAGGTCCCTATGCTTGTCAGGGAAGTGCTTATTCCACTGAGCCATCTCCCCGGCCCCAGAAACTTTTAAAAGTAAAAAATAAAATAAAATTGGGGCCGGGGAGATAGCTCAGTGGAATAAGTGCTTCCCTGGCAAGCGCAAGGGCCTGAGTTCAATCCCTGGTTCTGCCAAAAATAAAAAATAAAATAAAATCAGGAACGAGACAAAAAATTGCTAAATCTGTGCACATATTAAAAAATAGATTATTTTAAGAGAGATATAGGTGTAGGATTATTGCTTATGCCATTTCTTAAGCAGTTCTTTTAATGCTAAAAAGGCTGGAATTGTTTGCACAAAAGGATGATTCCCTCCCCCCAAATTTATTCGACTTCTGTTGAATAAATTTTTATGGCCTTTATAATGAAAGCTTAAAAAATCATTTTGTTTCTATTTAGTTAAAAAATGTTTTTCTACATGTACCCTTGTTATCAAAATTTGAAGAAATCATGTAAGATGGTACAGCATTTGAATGGTGCAGAAGATGTTTTTTAAAAGAAGTTTTAAAGAATGTTTGTTTTCAATATTAAATTTTTATTTGAAATAAAAAAAAAGAAGTGGAATAATTTGCTAACATATCCTAGCAAGTAAAGGGTAGAGCTCAGATTTGAAGCCAGCTCTGAACCCAAAGCCAACAGTCTTAAGCACTGTAACAAAACAAGTACGGCATTGGCCATGCTGTAGAGCCACTAAAAGCAGCCCCTACCTCTTAGTGGATGAAATAATTACACATTGCAAACTTGTACTAAGAAAAACAAAATTTAAAAACAGCGACTGTTGGACCAGCAAGATATCTCAGCGGACTAAGTGCCTGCTCAGGCAAGTGCAGGGACAAGGGTTCGATCTCCAGCACACATGCTGTGCCAGCCCCACCCTCAGGTGTGCTGAGCCAGCCACCAAGACCTGGCATAGCACCTGTAATCCCAGTGCCGGGGAGGCCGAGGACAGGAGGGTTACTATGAGTCCGAGCTGCATAACGAAACCCTGTACCAAATACATTTAAATCAAGCAAGCAAGCAAGCAACTGTGAGAACTGCCTAGCACGGGGAAAGGATGTGATGAAGCCATCCTTGGAGAAACACTATAAAACTGGCCACAAAGAAAACCCGAGGCTCTCAAACATGCACACGTAAAATACAGAGAGACCAGGAATATCAGTCTGTGTCTTCAAAAAAAAAAAGGAAGACCCCAGCCACGTGAACAGGCAACTATTTGCATACGGATGTGCTCCTCCTAACAGGGCACTTCATAAAAAGAAAAAGAACCCTGCCAAAACGAGGGGTGGCAGGTACAAGGGGCAGCTGCTACCTCATGGCTGAAATTGAGGCCCCAAAGAAAGGCTTCTTCACCTCCAGCTGAGGAAGATGGTGTTACAAAGCTGTGTGGACAGAAATAGCCTGGCACTGAATGTAAATACTCTTTTGAAAAATACCTAAGTTTAAGGTATATGCTGGGAAAAGCAAAGCTTTTATCTCTACCAGTAGACTTTGGAACCACCACACACCACCTTCCACAGAAACCTGTTTCTTGTATATACATTTCAGCTCTCCTGCTAGGAGCTATTCTTTTAGGGCAAGGATTGTTTCATCTTTTCTGTAGCCAGCTCTACACTGTGGACATACAATATGTTCAATAGCTTACCTTTGAATATATGAACACTGAAAGAGGACTCCTATTAAAGTGTGCTTTTTGAGCCAAGTATAAAGACAAATGCCTGTAATCCCAGTATTCGGGAGAGGATCACTGCAAGTTCAAGGCCACCCTGGGCTACATGTAGTGAGCTCAAGGCCCACCTGAATTGCACAGCAAGACCCTGTCTAAAAAAAAAAAAAAAAAAAAAAAAACAGAGATCAGGGAGATGGCTCAGTGGAATAAGCTCTTCCCTGGCAAGTACAAGGGCCTGAGTTCAATTCCCAGTTAAAAAAAAAAAAAGGCATGACTTTTCCCATTTTTTATTCTTTTTTCTTTTTTTTAACTGCAAAAGCAAGAGGAGGAGGTGGCAGGAAGGGGGAGGAGGAGAAGGAGAAAAGGCAGGTATAAGAAAAATACAAAGGCACAATAAGAGAAAAATAACAAATTCCTACTGCCTAAAAGTAACCACTGTTAGTGCTTTGGTATATCCTATGTACAAATAGCATTTTTCTTTTAAAAAATACATAGATGTATGCACATTACACCCTGTATGCAATCTTATACATTTTTTTACTTACACAAAAAGTTTTTCTGTGTGTGTGTGTACTAGTGTTGAAATTACATTAAATGTAGTCTTGCTCTTGAGTATCACACACACATGATACAGGCTTAATCCACTAATGAGTTTACAGCTGAGTGTGACATGACAGTAGATGTCCTCTTAACCACTTTCCTTTTGGAACTTGTAGGATCCACTTTTCTTTCTTATGAATAATCCCTTAATGAGCATGTGGTTACAATCCTGGCTGGTAGGCCTATTTCCTAAGATAGCTGTCCCACGTGTGAAATTGGTAGGTGAGATGGTATACGTGCATTTAAGGCCACTGGAGAATATTTAAAAGACAAATTGTGTCTAAACATGGAAATGGGTAACTTTCCTCTTTTATTTATGTTTTTATCAGTATATGTTTGTGGTACATTTAGCTCTCTTTTTTTAATCCCTTTCCCCTTCCCTCTGCCTCTGGATCCCCTTTCCCCACTTGTAAGGGGCAGGATGGGTAGGGAGTCAAGGCTCCCTCAGAATCCACAGGACTGGTAAGGAACTGTGCTGACCGATACCCTTGTTACAGGGTCGCTGAACTGATTTCCCTTTCTAAACAGGACACACACAAATCAGAAGCTCCTTCCATGCCCTCTACTACCAAACACAAATTTCTGTGCTCACTCAGCACCCAAACCCAAACACACACACACACACACACACACACAGCCTTTGGCCCTCAATGTCTAATCTGGACCCATCTGACCTTTTGACGAGGTTGGGGGACACCTTGAGTCCAGGATCCCCTTCGCCCTTTTGTCAAAGTTGAGGGACACCCTGAGTCCAGGATCCCTGTCGCCCAGTCCTCCTGGCAAGGTGGGGTGTCCCCCTGGGCTTCTAACTCCCAGCGCAGGGGCTTAGCTGGGCGCAGTCCCCGAGGGTGGTCGAGGAGCCTTGAGGCAGAGACCCTATGGTTAGAGTCGGAGGGAGGGCCGGGCTCTCGGCCCCGGGTCACCAGCCCACCCTCCAGCCCAGGTATGAACTGCCAGCTCCCCAGCCGAGGGCGCCCCACGCCCCGGGGTCTTCCTCCTGCCCGCCTTCCCTTCCCCGTCCGCGCCGTCCAGGCAGTCGCAGCCCCGGGCCGGGGTCGCCACTACCTGAAGACTCCCACTGCCTCCCAAGACACCCCCTCCCCAAACTCCGCGCAGCTCTCTCGCGTCTGTACCGACTGTCCCTCTGTCCTTCCCGCCAGGAATTGCTCTTTCCTGCTCCACCAACTCTCCCTCCATCGGTCTGCGGGTCCAGCGCTGCCCCGCAGTCCTATCCGGTCCGCCCCTCTGGTGACAGTGCCTAGGTCCCCTGAGGTCCTCCTCACACGCCCCTCCCCCAGGTCTGTCTCTCCGCGCCCCCGCCCACATCTATGCTTCTGTCCGCCCGCGACCGTGCTCCTCAGCTGTCAGAGTCTGTCCCTCCATCCTGCCAGGTCCCGAGCCACCGTCCCTCCCTGAAGCAGGGGAATCTGAGGCCGTGTCGCCCTCCCTTGCCCGGCAACTCTTGCCTCTTCCACTTTCTCTACTTTGAGTCCATCCCAGCAGAGTCCAGGAAGTAGCCTGGCACAGGAGACTGGCGGCGATAGCGTCCAATGGGGTGCGCCAGCGGCGGCGGAGGCCCCGCCTAGAGCATAAAGGAGACCAATGAGTGCGTGGAGGCGGGACTTCCGCTGTCCCGAAGAGGGCGGGGGAGTGAACTGTTGTGGTGCGGCGCGTTGGGCGGGCGGCGGCCGGGCGGCCCTGGGGCTGCCGCGGGACTCGGGGTGCAGCCCAAGCGGCTGCAGGGGTGGAGCGAGCCGGACGCGCTGCGGGGCCCGGGTGTCGCGGGTTCGAGGCCGGGCCCCGCGCGGGGAGGCCGCGCCACCCCAGGGGAGCTGCCCGGCTGCTAGTTTGCTCCGCAAACGAAAGAAGGCGGGAGCCGGCGGGGGCCTTGGAACCCCCTGGCGGCCCGGGCCCGAAGTCCCCGGGGAGCGGCCGTTTCCACAGACGCCCTCCGGGGCTCCCGCCGTTTGGGGACGCTTCCGGGCGCCCGGCCGAAGGCGCCTCGGCTGACCCCCGGCGGGGCCCGGCGAGCCGCGGGCGCTGACC